ACTGCTAACCAGAAGACTGGCAGTTCAAACCCACCAGCCACTCCTCGGAAGGAAGGTTGGGCAATCTACTTCCATAGTGATACTGCCTCAGAAACCCAAAGAGGGGTCGTTATAAGTCAGATCCAACTTGACGGCAGTGAGTTAGTTTTAGTTTCTGTCCCTTAGGAAATAATTTTTTTTTTCCTCATAAAGAAATGGGTCTCACTTTTTCCCACATATAGTAATACAGCATGTTTTTGTTCTTTTGTTTCTTTGTTCACTTAGACACTTGTGTGGTTGTTGGGAAGTCAAATCACCATATGAGCAGACCCTTGGATGAAACAGACAATAATTATGATCACAATTCAGTTCTGAACCTTCTTTATTAAGGAAGGTCTTCAGGCATTATTATTAACAGGCAGATACAACTTTGACAAGAGCACCATTCAAAGTCACAGTTTTTGTGAGGTCAACTAGAAAGCAGAGAACACAATGGGGTGTCCTTAACATCAAAACAATGACAATTGGGTTGTCAGCCTTATACCTTGCATCAAACATAACAATTGCCTCCTCTGCTTCCGTTCTCTGAGAAATTGGGATTCAGGACATTATATTAGTCTATACTACATGTGGCATTTGCTTTGACAGAAGACAAGGCCGCCTACCCAAGTGCAGATTAGGACAAAATGGTGGCTATATTCTCTGTGTCAGACCGTCTAACCTCTGTTGTGTCCAGCCTAGATCTTGAAGTGTCTGACCCTTCCTGGGCATGGGCTGACCACTGGAGCAGCAGACCCAGGCCCCACGACCACAGGCCCTGGCCCAGTCAACACAGGCCCTGGCCCCACCACCACAGGCCCTGGCCCCACCACCACAGGCCCTGGCCCAGTCAACACAGGTGGTTTCACTGGGTGGAATGCCTCTCCTGAGGTTGACTCCATTGAGACCACACCTGAGAAGGCATGGCGCAGGTCGTAGTGCACCCGATGCACTGGGGGTGGCTGGGGAGCTGCCACCACCATGGGTCCCCCTACTAGGGCAGGCACTGGTGGGTCAGCTAGAGTGGGTGCAGGTGCAGGTGGGTCCACTGCCACATTGATGTCATCTGATCGGGGCTGTGGAACCACAGGCTGGAAAGAATACCATTTCTGTATGTTAGCTTACTTCTTCCCCCAGACAAGGTCATCCCCAATTCTGGGTGGAACCCCCAACTCTCACCCAATTTTCTCATAGTAATCATTTTTTATTTCAAGAGATCTGGTGAGGAAAAAAAAAAAAAAACTACTTTGGTTCAGATGATTGTCATCAGGATTACAGGGGAGGGGTAACTATGGTGGTGGCCCCAGTCTTACCAGGATTGTCTTGATGGTGGACTTATAGGAGCTCTGGTAGTATAGTGCCTAAGGCATTTTGACTGGCACTTCAAGAAGGCTGGCAGTTCAAACCCACCAGCTATTCCTCAGAAGGAAGGTTGGGCAATCTACTTCTGTAGGGATACCACCTCAGAAAACCAAGGAGGGGTCGCTATGAGTTGCATCAGACTGGACAGTAGTGAGTTTAATATTTTTTAAATATATATACACATATCCAACCTCACTTTGTGGGTAACCGTGCCAACCTCATTGTCATCTACATCTGCAGCCACTGAGAGCTATCAGGCAGATCTGGCTACCTTGTCTCTACAATTCAGAAAGCTCTCACTTTCTACAAATAAAAAGATGGCCTTGTCCAATACATTCTGAGATGGTTCTGCCCTGTAGCCTTCAGTTCTTGGCAGGAGAAGATATAGGTCATGGCTAAAATGTGTATGCATTTGTTGATGATTATGCATGCCCAATGTTATTGATGTTGTGGACTGAGAAGGACACAACATTAAAGGTTCTGTAATTATTAACACACTACAAGAAAGTTAAAGGATCACTGTATTCTGAATATGACAGTGTGTATACCTATAAGCTGTTACCTGTGTTTGGAACACTGTGCAGGTCACTGAAACATCTTCCCCACCAGCCTTCTCAGTGATTCTCGCCTTACAGAAGCCATATTGCTGTCCAGAGAAAAAGAGGAGCTATTTTACCTGATTAAAACAAGCAGATTTCTTCCCCAATGAAATTGACACTTTAACACATCAAGGCAAAATTAATTAATTAATTGATTAATTATATTCCTATTCCTGTTTTGAAAAAAATCTTTTTCTTAAAGTTTATGGTTTCTTAAAGTTTATGTGGAAGATATACAATATATAATCTATCTAGAATATAATACAACATACATTGAGTGAAGTAACTCACCCTAATCTCAGAAATGGGGGTAATGAAGGGGTAACGACTGTTAACACTGATGTACTTCTTTTCACTTAAAAAAAAAAATCTTTTATTTCTGTGAAAATAGACACAACAAAGGATCTGCCATTTCAATAAATTCTATGTGGACAGCTCAGTGTCATTGTTTATATTCTTTCTGTTGTGTGACCACTCTTTTTCCAAATGATTCCACTGCCATCAGTGTGAACACTGCCCCCCTGAGTTTCTCATCTAACCTTTCGAGATGCTGTTGTATAAATAAAACTGAGAAAGAGGACAATGCTCAAGGCACACATATTTTGCTAGTTAGACTAAACTGTTTACGGTTCAAAGCTGACTTGCCATAAACGTATTGATTCGAGGTTTAAGGTTTAAAGATTATTTCAGGGCAATAAATTCAGGTGTTTATCCAGCCTCAATGGCTCCAAAAAGTTTGGATTCTATTGAGAATTTGTCTTTCTTGCTTTTAAATACATATTATACATATACATAATTTAAAAGTTTAATCATTTTTACTATACCATCCTGTATCCTGTGTTTTCCACATATTATGATAGCATTTTCTCATATCATTAATTACTCTTTGAAATTTTTTTGTGTCTGCATGACTTCCTACTTCCTGATGTGCCATATTTTATTCAGTGATGCCATCCTACTGAACATTTAGATCTTTTTTTTTTCTTTTGCCATTTAATATCTATAATCAATCATTCCTACAAATATATTTCTGTCAGACAGCTCTGCTTATCTCTTTAGGCTCAATTCCTAGAAGTGGGTGTTACTGGATCAAGACCTCAAAGTTTTCCTATCAGAGTTTTATCTAGAAAATCTGCATTCCACACCACCAGCAGCCAGGTATGACTGGGCTTCTTTCAGAAACAGCCTTTTTCTTTCTCTGAACCCCATGGCCCTCCAGTGGATGAGAGTTTGATGATGATTCTAAAAGTATGGAAGTCCCTGGATGCCACAAACTGTTAACACACGTGGTTGCTAACCATGAGGTTGACAATTCAAGTTCACCTATGGGCATCTCAGAAGAAAGGCCTGGTGATCTACTTTGGAAAAATTAGCCATTGAAAATGCTATGAAACACAGTTCTACTCTGACATGCATTGAGTCAGAATTGACTCAACAACAACTGATTTTGATTTATTTTTCACAGGGTGGAAGGTCTTTCACCTAAAGGAAGGTCTGTCATGACCTAGCCAACAGGAAGTGGCATTTTGTGCTGGTGTTCTCTTTCTGCAGGCCCAGAATATAAACTACAGTAAGATCCTCTATTCTGTGACTGACTGCCTGGATGGCAACAGCTTCAGGTCCTTTCTTGCAAACTCACCTTTTCTGCTGGCACATTGCACTTGGTTGGATCTGTGACATCTTTAGCAACGCAGTCAGTAGCAACCACTGCAAACTCCACTTTGGTAGAAGGTGGAAGAGGCTAATTAAATAAAAGAAAATGTTCTTAAGGCAATGTGACTTAGCATGGAAAAGGCAGGGAAGGAGAAGCTGCAGGGAAGCAGGGAAGCCATGTGTTGCACAGCTCTACGGGGCACCATTCACATGGAGCACATTGTGTGGCTCAGGAAAACTCTCCTGAGCGGCTTCTATGGGCGGATGTTGTAGAATTGTGCTCTGAAGCACTCTGCTACAGAGAACTGATGTGTAGGGAGTTGAGTCTTCTATGAAGGAAGTGTAGGTATCCCTTGTTCATCATTCAGGGTAGACAAACAGGAGCTCAGATAGCAGATCCTTGACTGGTATGAGTGGAACCCTGGCATCCCCGACCCTCATGCTTGGGTCTGCATTTTGAGATTCATGGGTCAGATTATTGCAAGATGGGATGATGGGAAAGAAAAGGGATGAATAGCTCTGCCATGTACTTCATAGTGCAGGATCAAATGAAAATTTAGATAAAAGTATGGAAGATATTGCTAGTGCTTTATTTCTTATAGTTGTTGGAACATAGAGATAGAATCTGTTATTTTGTATGGTTTGAGATTAGAGTGTTATGAGAAATCACATATTCTGGTTAATAAATTTACCACCTACCTATATCATGCACTTCCAGGTATGTTGTCACTAGTATCCAGAATTTTGGATCCAGTTTTGTTTGTTTTTAAATGTTAGAATTCTATTACATTCAGATGTATTAAACTATGCTTATTAAGATTAGATTTGTTTTTTCAGTGATTCTAAAGCATTTTAGGATACTGCCATGACAGGCCAGTCAGTATAGGCAGGCTCAGGTCATTATAAGTCTCAGTTATGAGAATCTCTGGCTGTTCAGTGGTGATGGGTGATAAGGATGTGGCAACCAGTGACTTTACTATGGGTGCTTTTGGACACTGGAAACCACTAAACACTGAACCCTAGTTTAAACGAGGACTGAGGAACTGCAGATGTACCCACCACAGTGTGTGACCATTTCACATTAGAGTGGCACAGCACAGGGCAGGCGCTGAGAGTTCTTTGGGTCCTGGCAATGCAGACTGACCAGGATCCTTTCTTCCCCTCATCTCCCAGCAATCCAGTACTATCCTGTCCTTCATCCCTGCTTCACCATACACATTCCCTCAGTGCCACCAAACTGTCCGATACTCAAAGTCTCTCAGTCTTTACCATAAATTGAGCCCGGGATACTTCCAGAAGCTGGTAATAGGAGCCGTTACTCTGAGCGTTGAAGGCAGCCAGGGCAGCTTCTACAGCATGCACCACCTTGGTGTCATTAACCGGACCCAGCAGGGGGCAGTCTGGGCATATTTTGATCACGTCCTCCGCCGAGTCTATGTACAGAGAGAGCAGAATCCCAGATCTTGGCTGTAATTCCTGGCAGCAGCCCATGCCAGCTCTTCTTATTTAGATAGGGCCAGCCATTCCTCGGAAGGAAAATTGGGCAATCTACTTCCGTAGTGATATTGCCTCAGAAACCCTAGGAGGGGTCACTGTGAGTCAGATACCACTCCACAGCAGTGAGAACACATTTAAGGATCTCTGGTGGCACAGTGCTTAAGGCATCTGACTGCTAACCAGAAGGTTAGTAGTTCAAACCCACCAACCACTCTGGGGAAGGAAGACTGGGCAATCTACTTCTGTAAAGATTTACCACCCCTGAAACCCAAAGGGGGGGTGACTATGAGTGGGAATCAACTCCATGGTAGTGGGTTTGGTTTGGTTTAGCACATGCTCCAAATAGTTTCAAGCAATTTCTCTGCTAAACCTTCAAGTGGCTCAACCATGCTGACATTTCTGTTCCTTCCTAGGGACAATTTTAACCTCCAATAAGAAGAGCTCTTTAAAGAACAATTTTAAAATCCCTGAACCCATGATATTTGACCTTGACTTTCCTCACCAACAAATTGGCTAGGACTACATAGGTGAGGACTCCTTAGGTAGTGCAAATGGTTAACACACTTGGCTGCTACCCGAAAAGTTGGAGAATTCAAGTCCACCCAGATGTCCCTTGCAAGAAAGATCTGTTGATCTACTTCTGAAAACCTTATGGAACATAGTTCTACTCTGACAGACATGGGGTCATCCAGTGTCAGGGTCAACTTGATGATAACTAGTTTTCACTTAGGTTGAAACAATGCAGATTCTTTCCTCACAGCCTCTACAAGGTGAAAAGAAGAGTCAGCTTACCTGGACTGGAATCACATTTTGCAAACAACACAACAAACTGGCCATCCTGCTTCAGCACCCGGAAATCACAGTCTCCTTCCACAGCCTGGAGAAATAAATCTATAGTGAGGGTCCAGGGGGAGAGGCTGGCTTTTTGATTCTTACCTAGGAAGAGGTCCCTCCACATGTGCTTGTCAAAGGTGAATCTCCCCAAAACCCTTTCCACTGGATAATTTTAAAACATTTCACCCTCTGCTTTCAGAGAGGCCTGTAACATGAAATTTAAGCTGTTGTAAACATCAGCGCTAGAGAAAGCGGCTTCATGGGGTAGTTTCACAGGCTTTTGCCCAACCAGGGTGGGCCTGGCTGAGTGCCACCACAGTCACCCTAAGAAGGCACTCACATGATCCATGAAGTGCCTCACAGTGCAGTTTGCCACAGGGGTGGGGTCCAGGACATGGCAGGTGGTTTCCAGTGTGTCTAGTTCAAGTTCAAATACCTCTCCCATAGGCCTCTGTGAAGAAACAGAAGGAGGAGGTGAGCAGGCTTTTCCTCTTATCCTGTTGTGTGGGCCAAAGTGTGAGCCCTCATTGGCTCAATTACCTGACTCCCTTTGGGAGAGATAAGGAAAAGTCATTCCTACTGTTAGTGTACTCTCTGTCTATACCTCTGAATTGGTCTGTGGACTGGACAGTGACCAAATTTCTTTGATCTTCCTCCCCTGACTGGGCTAAATAATATTTGCCAGGAAGAAGGAGATGTGATAAGTGCCTGTTGGGTGCAGGCCCCTTCACTATATCGTATCACTAACTGCCTCCCTACACACATACCCCCAAGTCCTGGAGGTTGATGAAGCCACAGTCCTTGCTCTGAGTGATGATATTTTTAAAAATTTCACCCTTCAGGAGAAAAATGTAGAACAAAACCCAAAAATCATAAAGACCAGATTTACTGATCTGATAGAGACTGGTGGAACCCCTGAGATGGTGGCCCTTAGACACTCTTCAAGCCAGGAACTGAACCCACTCCCAGAGATCACCTTGCAGCCAAACAACTGACAGGCCTATAAAGTGAACAATAACACTTGTGAAGAATATGCTCCTCAGAACAATCAACCATATGAGACCAAAAGGGCAGAATTTGCCCAAAAATAAATCTCAGAAGTCAGGAAGAGACAGGGGAGAAGGAGGAAAGGAAATAAGGAACCCAGAGAGGAAGCGGTAAGAGTACTGTTGCATTGAGCGAATTGCAACCAATGTTTTGAAACAAAATGTGTATAAATTATTGACTGGAAAACTAATTTCCTCTGGAAAGTTTCAACTAAACCACAATTTAAACTATATATATATATATATATATATATATTTATTTTTCCCTACCTCTCAAGCAGTGCTTTGATAGTCAGCTTTGGATTGTTCTCAATCAAGCAGCAAAGTCAGGTGATGCACGAAAATATCTTATTGCCTTTTCTTTATCTTCTCTTTTCCTCCATCTACTTTTTTGTTCCTTTTCTCATACGAACTACTTTCCTTTCTTTACCATTTTCCTTTCCTTCCTAAAAGTTTGTGTTGTCCTTGGCTTTTTTTTTTACCTTATCCTTTTGACGTGGGGAGGTCTGGATATACAGCTAAGGAGCTCTGGTGGGGCAGTGCTTAAGGCATTTGACTGCTAACCAGAAGGTTGGTGATTGGAACCCACCAGCCACTCTGCAGAAGGAAGATGGAGCAATCTACTTCTGGAAATATTTATCACCTTGGCTTTTGGTTTGGATGCACAACTGCTGTTCTCTACTGCCCTCTGCTGGTGCTGCGAGGAAAGAGCCCATCTACCTCTGACCCTGAAGAACAGGGAGCTCTGGTAGCCTAGCACCTAAGGCACCTGGATAGCTAACAAGAAGGCTAGCAGTTCAAACCCACCAGCCACTCCTTGGAAGGAAGGTTGAGCAATCTACTTCTGAAGTGATATCGCCTTGGAAACCCAAGGTGGGGTCGCTATGAGTCTGTCTGACTCCATGGCACATAACAACCACAAGAAGTCAGGGCAGGTAGAAGGGGGAGGCAGTTGTGGGGAAAGCAGTGATAGGGAAGCATGTATAACTTCTTAGAGTTGTTCTTGCAGTCATCTGTCTGCATCTTTTCTTCAAAGCCTGGAAAATCAAGAACTGTGCTTGCCCCTCCTCCCCGCCCCCACCTCTGCTCCAGCCCTGCTTGCCTCTCATTTCATTTCCACCTGACTCACTAGCACCTGAAGACTCTGCGCCTCCTCTCCTGGAGAAAGCTCTGCATTTCATGGGGTGCAGTTGTACCCTTATTGACTTTGTGAAAATGCTCAGCGCTGCAGTGAACAGAAGCCAGGTACCCTGGCTTTCTCAAGGAAGGTACCTGTCAAGCTCTGCCTTGATTGAGAATCACAATGCCCATTCATTGTTGTTGTTGTTGTTGTGTGCTGACGAGTGGGACCCAACTCATATCAACCCCTCCTTGGGTTTCCAAGGCAGTATCACTACAGGAGTAGATTGCCCAACCTTCCTTCCGAGGAGTGGCTGGTGGGTTTGAACCGCCAGCCTTCTGGTTAGCAGTCAAATGCCTTAGGCACTACGCTACCAGAGCAGTGTTTCTGCTAAACCACCATTTTCTTTAATATGGTTCCAAAACCAAAAAAAAAAAAAAACTTCACTGCCACCGAGTCGAGTAGACTCATAGTGACCTCTCCTTGGGTTTCTAAGGCAAGGAGCTCTGGTGGCATAGTGCCTAAGGCATTTGACTGCTAACCAGAAGGTTAGTGGTTCAAACCCACCAGCCACTCCTTGGAAGTGATACCATTTCAGAAACCCAAGGAGGAGTCTCTGAGTTGGAGCCGACTCCATAGCAGTGAGCATTTTTTTTTTTTTTTTTTTTAATCATTATGGAAATAGATTGCCAAATCTTTATTCCTAGGAGTGGCTGGTGGGTTTGAACCGCCAGCCCTCTGGTTACCAGTCAAATACCTTAGGCACTACGCCACCCCACCACTCCTGAAATCCATCTGGACAGTTCTGATTGTAGACATTTTATCCCACTGTGAGAGCAGATGTCAGTCAACACAGACATTCTAATCTATTGTATTTTCCATCCTAGATTATAAGTCTCTGGTGGGCATAAACTATGTCTTTCTCACTTTTATATTAGGTTAAACCATGCAAAGTTGCCAACGTTCAACTACTTTTGACCTATAAAAATGGCAGTTTGAAATGGTACAACCTAATACCTCCATACCACCTGACACTGGGTCATGCACAAGGAAGCCTTTGCTAAAAGAATTATCGTAAATCAGATTGAAAACCTAAGTTTAAAATAGGCAGTAGCCTTTTCCCACCCCTCCATATCTCTCAACGATCCACAGTGTATTTTCCAGATTTATTTATTTATCTCTATCGTCACTGGCTGCAGACTGCATCAGTTTCTTGTGTAGCATGTGAGGAAGAGAATCCCGTTTGTGTCAAGACTTCTCCCTGAGATGTGGGCAGCTCTCTTTGGGAGACAGCTTGTGTAGAAGAAAGAATACAGGTATGGAATCAAATTGCAGCCTTGTCACTTCTTAATTATATGATCTTGAGGAAAAAATTACTTAATACACCAGAGCCTTAATTTCCTTTCGTGTACCACAGAGATGATATACCTATCACATAGAACTCATGGTGAGGGGAATGGTTAATGACATGATATAGTGAAAGAGCCTGGCACACAGTAGGCATCTGACAAATGTCTATTTTGTTCATTCTCACATTGCAGAGAGAAATGGAGGCCAGGAAAGAAAAGTGGTAACTTGGTAAGTAGAAGCTGGTCTTTTGGGCTCTAGCAAGACACACTTTCCACTTGTGATATTCAAAATATCATCTGAAGCCCTTTCTTCTCCTACCTAACTCCTCTTCCCCACCAGCACCCTCCTGAGACCTAAGACTTCAGGACAGAATGACTCCTCTCTTGCCTTATTCCTGCCCCTCCCTTACTCCTGAGAGAAACCAGAGTTGACTCCCTCCCTGGTAGCTTTATTTCTAATGGGAGATGCTAATCTTTTGAGGCACCAGGTTGAGCTCACACACAAGTACTTTCAGCTCATCCTCAGCAGGTTCACTTACCCGAGACCACACCTTCACTTTGTCAATCTGGTTCAGGACATGCTTGTACCCCCGAAGACGGTGTGCATTGATGTAGTCCATGGCCACCTGGGCAGCTTGCTCAGTTTCTGGGTCATCACAGTTCAGTTCCCTGTAAGCTAGACCTAGGCCTTGTGGGGCTGAGTGGCAGCCCCAGAGCTGAGCAAGGCACAGGAACAGGATGAGGGACTTCATGGCTGTCCCAGAGGCTCTGGTGGGTGGGCAGGTGGCTGGAGGCTTCAGACCAACCCAGGTACTCCGCTGGGAAAGCTAGACTGATGGAGGGGAGGAGGGCTTTATTTATCTATTGGAGCCTGCCGGAAGAATTGCATAAGGACGTGGGATGATATCTGTTCTGGTTCCAAGAAAGTCCCTGCAAACATCAGCCATGGAAAAGCAAACAGGTTAGGACATCACTGGCCTCTAAGAAATCTGCCAAAGTCAATCCTGCTGTGGGGGAGATGCTCCAAAGTCTGCTGGGATGTGGTAACAGCAGCAGAGAGAGGAAGCAGCTGAGGGGACAGGAGCACACCACGCAGGGCGGGGGCTGGCACTCCAGCCCACAGTGCAGCGGGTTTGGCAGCAGGCAGAGTGTCCCCTACCGTGATCTGAGCACACCAGGGGGTCTGTGAGGATGAAGGAGGATGTTCAGCAAGGTGACTTGTTGGATAGAAAACCAATCACTAAAATCTACTGATGTCAGGGGGATTATTTCTTCCCAGAGAGGTCCTAGAAGGACAGCAAGACTCATAGAGGCAGAAAAAGCACAGATGAGCAAGAGGAAAGAGAGAGTTTATGGGAGATGGTAAAATCCTTAGAGAAAAGAAGAAAGGAAGGAAGATATTTCTGGCTGAGGTGGAGATGGGAGTGAGGGGAAGTGTCTATGACAGGGCCAGTGTTCTGGTTACCTAGTGCCACTCTGACAGGAATATACCACAAATGGGATGGCTTACACAAACAGGAGCTTATTCTTACAATTTGGAGGCTTTCAGTCCAAGTTCAAAGTTGGAGTTGATTACCATTCTCATCATGGGGAATACTACATCCAACTGCCCAGCCACTCCACCAGGCCTAGACAAGTTGACACAGCAACCAAACTACCACAGCCAGGGAGGATATGACCAGCAGAGCAGGGTGGGGTTTCCTGTCCCCTCATCCTCCTCTATCAAGTACTTGCTGTCAGGGCCCTGGGGTGACAGTGTAGTTGGCACTGACCTGGGTCTCCTGAGGGAGTGTGATTGGTGTCAGGGCCCAGTAGTCCTGGTTAATACACAAGCACAGCAGAAGGAGCCCTGTCTTAACAGCCCTCATCTGACAAACACTGTAGGCTGAGAAGCTCAGGGGAAGCTGAGGACACAAATGCCTCCTTCCCACCCTTCCCAGCCTTAGTAGAACTATAGTATGTGTTTCTAGCTAGACCACAGTGACACTTAGGATGGTTTTCGGTACCACCTTTTATTGTTTGGTGAAAATATATATAACGATTTCTATACGTACAATTCAGTGACATTGGTTACATTCTTCAAGTTGTGCTGCCTTTTTCAACAATCTTTGCCAATCGGTATTGCCTTTTAAGAAGCCCTTGACAAACCCAGGGGAGCCCTTCGAGGACGGGGGGCAGGGTAGTGAGAGGCTTGGAAAATGTCATACAACAATCTGGTTTGGTTTCACCTGGAGCAAAGAAGCCCGAAAATGGAGACCAACAGGCTCTTCAAATATTTAGAGGTCATCATTGTGTGTGGGTGGATTTGCCCTGTTGTTTGATATTGCTTCAGAAAGCAAAACTTGGTAAAAAAAAAAAAAAAAAAGAGGGGGTCCTCCACAGGAAAGTTTAATGATATTGATTTTGTTGGGGGGTGGGGTGTGGGGAGAGTTGATGGGGCAGGAAGGTGGCTGTAAGGACTGTCTTCATGTTTACAACCAGCTGTTCATGTCCTTGTACAGAATCTTAATAAGAGAGTCTCAGAAGTTGTGGTCAGGACTCCAGGTTCTGTCCAGGAGGGGGTCCTGGCTCTTAGACATGCAAAATGAGCTCTGATCTCCTAGCAAGATGACCCTCAAAACCACCAACTTTCCACCTGCTTTATACTCCATTTTCTTCAGGGCCCCGACTCATGAACAACTATTTGTGGATAGCATAATTTTCTTTTAAATAACCTTTAAAAATACAAAACACGGTCGTTATTGAAAGTTGGAAAATAAAAAGTATATATACGTTGTTGTTGTTGTGTGCCGTTGAGTCAGCCCCGACTCATAGCGACCCCTCCTTGGGTTTCCGAGGCGGTATCACTACAGAAGTAGGATTGCCCAACCTTCCTTCAGAGGAGTGGCTGGAGTGGGTTTGAACCACCAGGTTTCTGGTTAGCAGTCAAGTACCTTAGGCACTGTGCTACCAGAGCTCCTATATATACGTAGTGAGTAAGTATTTCATAAACTATATGTAAAACAAAACTTTATTTTCCACAGTGCAATTGGATTGCTGACCCTGGGCTCTCTTTTGTGAAAATTTAATCTAGTCCTGCCTGGTAACTTGATTTCCCAGATGCTTTGGTTGAAACCCAGTCACAGTTAGTATTGTTTTCCCTCATTTTTCTTCTCCCTCTTGGGGTTAAATGTAAGCTTGAGGTGGAAGGGTGAGGGGAAGGCTTAGGTAAATGTTCCTTCAGTCAAAGGGGGACAGGGGAGTCCTTCTTTGACCTTGTGCTGGCATTTTCTGCCAGATAAACTGTCCACCTGGCATGTCTGCCTGTGAACTTGTCATGCTTGTGTCTGTCTATTCCATGGAGAGAGGGGCCCTGCATCCTCTGACTAGAGTCCCTTATTCCAACTATGAGACCGTTTCTAGACTATGGGCCTTCTCTCAGCTAACTGCTCTCCTTTATTTGATTATGGGAAAATTTGGCTGCTGTGCCACACGGGGTGGGAGTGGTATTGGGGTCAATAAAGCTGCCTTCAAGCCCATCTGCTTAGATATGTCCTGAAATCATGGTCCTCCACTGCTCTGGTGCCACCTCTCTACTTGAGGGGCTTCTCACTGTGATATGATAATTGCCCTATGCTACCCTCCTGGGAAGTGGGCTCAGTCTCCTCTGTTCTTAGAACCCCCCCCCCAACACACACACACTGAACTGGGGGAAGTGGCCTAGAAAGGCTATACCAATTTATACCCCTACAATTTATCCTGTGTGTTACGTCAACTCAGCTGGCCTCTCTTTCACTCTGCTATTGCCTGTATGCTGACTTTCATGAGAACTTACAAATGTGAAAATCATCACAACTCTTTTTTGAAAATGTATTTTGTGACTTCAGTTTTATTGCAACTACTCCATATGTCTAATACTTGCAAATTTAAATAACTATGGTGACAAGCTAAATAAAATGGTCCATATTTAGATTTTTGTCAGCTTCCTTAGAAAGAAATATTGCCATTTATTTATGACAGTTAGGATGATGTGGTATGTGTTCCAAGACAGAGACAGCATTAGTGCCAAAATGGAGGTAGGTTCTAGTGCCTCATGAGCATAAACCAATTTCAAAATTTAAAAGATCTTCATATTTGATTCTTTCAAATGCATATAGTCATGAGTGGTCTTGAGTCCCTTTTACCCAACTGGTTGTAACTTCGCATGCCATGTACAGGACAGGCATTTACTCCATTATTTCCAGTCATTTGCTTTATTATTTTAATTACTTATCTGTGCATTTTTCCACAATGCCCACATTGTTGCATTAAAACAATACCCTTTTTGTTCACATGAGCTATTACTTCCACTATTCATCTGTCAGTTTGTACTGTGGTGGCTTGCATGTTACTGTGATGTTGGAAGCTATCCCACTGGTATTTCAAATACCAGCAGGGCCACCAATGGCAGACAGGCTCCAGCAGAGCTTCTGACTAAGACAGACTTGGAAGAAGGACATTTTTTTTTTTTCTGAAAAAATCAGTCACTGAAAATCTTGTCAGTAGGAGTCAAACACTTAATTGTGCTCTTGAGGGACTTGCACACATACCCAAGAGGCAGTTGTTTGAATAGAACAAGCGGATACTGTATGGTTGAAAGTCAGGAAATGTGTGCATCGGAGTTGTATACTTTCACCATATTTATTTAATCTGATTACATATTCTGATTAAATAATCTGGGAAGCTGGATATTATGAAGAAGAATGCAACATCAGGATTAGAGGAAGACTCAGTGACATGCTGATGACGCACCCTTGCTTGTTGAACGTGAAGATGACTTGAAGCACTTACTGATGAAGATCAAAGACTACAGCCTTCAGTATGGATTACTGGTCAGCGTAAAGAAAAGAAAAATCCTCATAACTGGTCCAATAAGCAACATCATGATAAATGGGAAAAAGATTGCAGTTGTTAAGAATCTCATTTTACTTGGATCCACAATCAATGCCCATGGAAACAACAGTCAAGAAATCAATCGATGTGTATTGAGAAAATCTGCTGTAAAAGACCTCTTTAAAATGTTAAAAAGAAAACAAAAAAACCACAAAGGTGTCACTTTTGAGACTATGGTGCACCTGACCTAAACCATGGTATTTTCAATTGTCTCATATGCATGTGAAAGCTGGACAATGAATAATGAAGATCAAAGAAGAACTGATGCATTTGAATTATGGAGCTGGTGAAGAATATACTATGGACTGCCAGACAGATGAATATATCTCTCTTAGAAGAAATATAGCTGGAATGCTCCTTAGAAGCAAGAGTGACCAGAGTTTGTCTCTCATACTTTGATCATGTTTTCAGGATGGACGAGTCCTTGGAGAAGGAAAAGTGAAAAAGAGGAAGACCCTCAACAGGATGGACTGACACAGTGACTACAACAATGGACTCATGATATAAACAATTGTGAGTATGGCGCAGGACAGAGCAGGGTTTAGTTCTGTTGTACATAAGGTTGCTATGAGTCGAATCCAACTTGATGGTACCTGGAAACAACAACTATTATGTTTGTTAGTGTATTGAGGAAATCAGGGGTTTGTTGGAGTTGGTAGAGGAAGCTAGCCCCAAAGGTTTAAGGATCAAACCAAACCAAAAACCAAACTCACTGTCATTGAGTCAATTCTGACTCCTAGTGACCCACATTGGGTTTCCAATGCAGTAAATCTTTATGGAAGTAGATTGCTCCATCTTCCTGCCATGGAGTGACTGGTGGATTTGAACTACCAAACTTCTGGTTAGCAGTCAGGTGCCTGAGGCAGTGCCCCACTATGAGGTAAGAGATGGCATCAGGGCTCACAAGATGGCAGCTAAGAATAGCTCAAAAAAAGAAACCCAAAACCTGTTTCCATCAGCTCAGTTCTGACTCATTATGACCCTATGTGTGCAAAGTAGAA